ATGTGCAGCCAGGATTGGTTAAATAATGAAGAAGATTGGAGCCTGAATTAAACTGGCAATATTTTTCTTTGTAGCTTTTTTATAATTGCATTCTTTTTTTTTTGCTGTAATTGCAGTCTCTTTTTCTTTTTATGATTTTTCTATCATATAATTACTTAGAATTCGATTTATCTAATTAGACTTATTAAGCTTTAAATTCTTAGACTCTTTAATTCTAGTTAGTTTATAAATTCTTTTTACATAGCAAATATTCTAGTATATTAAAATTTGATATAATAACCGCGTATCCAGTACTATATGCATCTTATTGATTATGTAGTATCAGGAACCTGTAAAATTTTAGATACAAAAAATTTAAAATTTAAAGTATCAATTCAAATTTTCTAAAATTTTTAAATTCCAAGGAATTTATATCTAAAATTATTAATTTTAACTAAATTTTTCTAAAAATTTTCATATTATATTATAGTTAGTGATATGTAAGAATAGGATGCTGCGCAGAATATTTCAGAATTTCACAATTCTGGAATGTGGGCCACAGTATATTCAAAAAAATATTTGATTTGCTTATCCCTAGTAATACATATTTTATTTTTAATAAAAATTTTATACAAACTTAACTTATTTAACTTCTAAGACATACAGTATATGATTAGTTTGTATTGGATGTTGATACCATGATCTAGAGAGTTTCTAGTACAATTATGGTCGGGCCGGGCTTGAGCCAAGTTTGGATGGGCTCGGGCCAGGTTTGGGCTTATATTTCAAACCCATGATTAATCGGGCCGGGCTTGGGTTGGGCTCATAATTTAATGGGCCAGAATCTGGTCTAGATATTCGATCCTGTAATTAATCGGACCAAGCTTGGGCTGGGTTTATAATTCTATGGGCTGGGCTTGGGTTTAGATATACCCGGCCCAACCCGGCCCATTGCGAACCCTAACCTGATAATAAAACAAAACCGTATTTACCTCTTGAAGATCCGATATGCTTAAGATTTTTGGCACAAGCTGATAGCTATCGTGATCATATAAGAGTATGACTGTATTCTGAAGCACTTAGACATTAGACCAAATGATATAAATACAGAAATAAGAGCATGCATACTTAGTTATTTTAATAATAGACTTTTAAATGAGAGTACTATATAGTATGAATTCACAAATTTGATATATTTATATTTGGTTTTATATTCAAATTTAATCCAAATTCTAAGAGAATCAGATTTAAATCTAAAGGTCGAATCTGATTTCAAAATTTACTAATTCTGTATTAACTATTTTTTTTCAAACTTCAATTATTGATTTCTTAATAATTGTCTGATAAATTTTAACATTCAACCCTATTTTTAAATTTTACTTATCTATAAAATTGGAAAATAGCTTAAATAATGAAAATAATCCAAACATTATTAGGTACTTTCGCTCAAAATTTGCAGAAGTTCAAATAAAAAAAAAACTAAATTTATTGTTGCATGGTTAATACAGGATTGAATTTTATGAAAAATAATCAAAATTATTATTTTTATAAACAAGAAATTGTAAAGATTTCAAATATTTTTGTGTGATACAGTAGTACTTTAATACAAGTTTAATAAACAAAATATTTTTGAAATTAAAAAAATTCCTTTAATTTCTTTAATAGCCTTATCATATTTTTACAATATGGCATCGAATAATTCAATATTTTTTCTATTTTATTTCAACCCTTTGAAAAAATAAACAATTTTTAACAGTCAATTTTTATAAGTGCACATCATTTAATCAGTCTAATGTAATTTATATTATAATTACTTTTCGATAATCGCGCCCTTTTCTCTGCAAATTTGCACTTACTGAGACTTAAATATATGATTTGTAGTTTATTTGTAGAATGCTTAAAGCCACTTACAAAACAAATGCTATTTATTACGAAGTAGTGATACAAATCGAAAGTTGAAAAATCGATTAGTTGAGCAAGTTGACAACTAATCGATTCCATTTTTTAAAACCAACTTAATCGATTAGTCGATTAGTTGACGAATCGATTAATCGATTAGTTGACAAATCGATTAATCGATTAGTTAACAAATCGATTAATCGATTAGTTGACAAATCGATTAATTGATATGTTAACTAAAACAAACGTTTAGATATTAGTTGATCTTTTATAAATCGAGTCCTCAAGCATTTTCAGAGACATGGACATATCAAAAATTTCCGTTACTTCCAGGAAAACTAGATTTGCTAAACATAATTATATATTTAATTTTGGCTTTAGCATCTATTCGTGTAATAATATATGTGGAATTTTAAGCAATCGATTAATCGATTTTAATCGATTAATTGACCAATCGAATGGTCAACTAATCGATTAATCGATTAATCGATTGGACAACTAATCGATTGGTCAATTAATCGATTAGTCGAATAAAATCGATAGTTGAATATAATAATTTATCAACTAATCGATTGAAAAAAGTTTGCCAATTTGTAACACTATTACGAAGTAACTCATTTACTACTAGACTTTATACAATTTTTTAATGTTTAGAAAGCATACAATTTTTAAATAAATATATACATTCTTTGTTAGTATGTTCTTTTTTTAAGATTTTGTTAAAAATTGGAATGAATCAGGATGAAAATCATACATTTACTGTACAGTACGGAACAGCATAAGGTATCCATTTAAAGTTGCTTTGTTAATTTTCTATTTTTATTTTTGGCTGTTATTTCTTAGCATCTTTATACAGTTATATACAGTATTCTTTAAACGCGTACTATCGTGAGTATAGAAAAAAATTAATTTATTTTACTATATAATAAAATTTTATTATTTGTTCATATTATTATACTCCTTTAGTAGGCTAATTAATTATTGCTGATATGTACGATGGTGCAGAAATTTAATCTTCAACCCATTTTATATAGGTAATGGACTCATTGAATCAATAAAATGAAGGATCTAGAATTCTCAATCACTTTATTATGAAAAATTTAGCCTTAGTGTAACAGATTTGCATAACGCGTTAATTATCGTTATTTTTTCTATATAAATATTATAAAACGAAGCATTTGTTTTTTTCATTTAATAAATAAACAATTTCCTTGGTCGTAATGGAATGTATGTTTTATTAAACAATGTATTTTTTAAATATAATACCTAGAACATTAAAAAAATTTATTAACATGCTTAATGCCAATTTAAAATTTTCATTCATCTCAAAAAATTTGAAATTTTGAAATTTTGTGTAATGGCTGAAGTGCTTACGTCATACATGACAAGTAGAATATATTAGTTGTGCAACCAAATTTCCAAAATTTGGGGTCGGAATAGGCCGAAGCTAGGTCGGCATTAAGCATAATACTAGCTAACTATACTATAGCAAAATTAATACTGAGCAATTTTTACTTAATAGTATTTATGCTACCAGTTTATTGAAAATTTAGTGAATTTGGAAAAAAGTTATCAATTCCGGCCTATTCCGAACCTCGATCTGCTGAATTTGGTTGCGCGACTAATCTACTCTGACGAAGTATATATCAAAAAACATTTACAATAATTAGCTAATATTTATTGATTAAAGCAATTCAAACTTTACAAATGCTTTTTATGTGTATTTCTTTTATATCCTAATTATGCGTCGTTAATTAATTTTTACATATAGATATATCATTATTGGCATCGAGTTGGGACTTCCGCTATACGCCTCTTGTGGTGGATGACAAATCGTGTTCACCACAGCGTAAGTAGTCGTCTACAAACATTGATTATTGATTAGTTTATTTATATTAGACACTAAACATTCGTGATTTTCATTTTAAAAGTATCATGGTGCAAAAAGAAAAAAGACAACAATATGCAGTACTCAATTTCTTGACCATCTTTGTGTCTACGCTAATGATGGTAGATCTCGCATTGGTATTATTTTTCATGGAAAGGATGAAAAATGGATTTTTCTTGTCAGGTTTTTATTTTCAGCAATAATATATTGAACTTGTGAATTATGATTAATAAATTAGATATTCTGTTTTTTTTCAGTATTACTTTCCTAGTGGTTCCATCGGCTTCAGTACTTTATTTACATTTTTAATTATTAGTCGCGAGCTTAGAGAGAATCCATGATATAAAAATTGGTGGCAGGCGCATTACTACACTGCACTGGTTTTAATACTTTTATCTGTAATTGATAATGAAGCTTTGAATGTAGCATCTTCACAAGTTATTAACTTGCGTTACTCACCGAGAGCTGATAAACATATTTTCTATGCTGTTGTTTTTAACATACACTGGCATTCATAAGTAATGCAACACGTGATTATTTTTATAAAAAACAGTAATTTTAGAAATTTTCATCTATGATAAAAATTTTTAACAAAAATTTTTTAAAATTTTTTTTTAATATCAGAATAAATTTCAACAT